CCAAACAGATCAAAATCAACAGACTGCCTTTGGGTTTTCATGAAAAAAAACCGCACATAAAAGTTAGGGCAAACTTTTGGCGTTTGTTATTTTCATTTTGCCCTCATTTTGTCTGCCTGCACGTATGGAAGCACACATACATTTTTATTCATCTGCAGTCTTTCTGTAGACCAGTTTTGGGATGTCTTATGGATGGATAGATCATTCATATGATTGCACTTTATAACAAACACCACGTAGGCCTTAAGATACAGACTCACAAGAATCAAAGTGAACATGATCGCAGTTTATAACAAACACCACGTAGGCCTGAAGATACAGACTCACAAGAATCAAAGTGACTTGCCTACTGCAACAGAAAAAAGCCGTCAGCAGAGTCCGGAAGATGGCAATGAATAATTGTGGTAACCTTTCCTGTCTAGGCACGGGAGATGTGCCGTGTTTCTCTGCAGATCTGGAGGTTTTGGTTTGGGGTTGTTCATTTTTCTGCAGAGCACGTCCAGAAAGGGCAAGACAGGCAAGCACTAAAAGCAATCCAGCTTCTTTCATAAATCAGCAGGATACAGTATCCAGTTGTTTACTTAGCATAATTTTACACAGACTAGACTGGACAAGTCATGAAACACTGGGCACAAGAGCTGAGAAATGCTGCTATTAAAAAAGGCATGCGGAAAACTTTCCCAAGGGATGCCAAGAGTGTGTGTGGGAAGAGGTAGGAGGAAGAAGCAGCAGCAGCAGGGGTTATAACAAACAGAAAAGAAGCGATTATGTTTTTCCCTCAAAATCAGTTACTAATCCTCTCAAAGAGAAAAGCATCGCTGGAAGGGGAACACAGGAGTGACACTGGAAACACCCGTGCAGCTGCAAAGAAAGCCTCCAAAAGAATTAAGCAGAGTCAAGCTGTCTGTTTAGGGTGCAATGCAAGTCAACAGCTTAGATGCGGGCAGATTTGCCAACTAAGCTTTGCTAAGATTTTAAATGTCATTTGCTTCACAAGAAAATGGATTCTTCTAACTAAACAGCGACTGCCAAATCTTACAGTGTACTTGTGTTGCATCCGATAACATCAGTCACGGCTCACTTGGTATGCTACAGTGCCGCACATCCGAACGCAGCAAGGAGCTCATGCAAACCCAACGGTGTGGTCAGTGAGTGGAAGGGGTCAACACGGACTGAAAACCGCCTTCTCCAAAATAATGCCCCAAAAGGAACAGAGACCCTAATATAAAAAATATTAAAGACAGACTACAGGAATCTCTCAAATAACGCCTCCCCCCACAACGTGTGCAGCCTGAGATTCATCCCACATTTGTACAATTTGGAAAATAATTTTTAAAGTGTGTATATGCTGATAGTTTGTATTGTTCCCCTTTTACGGTCATTGGGCTCATTCCAGCAACAGAATAGCTTTCAATTGATGAGGACTGGTGGATTTTTGGTTTTATTTGTTCTACGCTCCAGTGAAATTTTTCACCCTAACATGCGCTCTAGTTTCGCCCTCAGAAAGTGAAAATAGGACCTATATATACACCACTCTGTAGGAAGACTTACAGATCTTTAGATCTGACAGATCCTTTAGTGCTTGCTTTAGTGCCGTAGATCTAAAGATCTATAAAGACCCATACAATCTTCTAAGTCTTTTCTTAATTTGTTTAGAGAGAAGGAAAGTGGAAGAGACAGGAAAGTTTTATGCACATCAACACCCCCCCAACGTTTCAGGCAGCAGTACTAACTAGTCATAATATATTCAAAGATCAAGCTGATATCTTCAGCCCACCTCCTCTTTTCTCATCCTTACCACCATTCTTTTCAAAATTAAAATCTGAAGAGAAAACCACAAGAAAAGCTGAGAAGGATGAAGAGCATTTCCACAGCACCATGTACATTACAGAGCCATAATGTCTCTTCCAAAGTCCCTAGCTGGAGGTTACACTATACGTTTCCTTCATGTCAACCAAAACTTTTCAAGGAAAGCCTTCACTCTGACTTTGACATCCCTCCCGTTCGGGCGATCAAAGCTCTACAGCCCAGAAACGATGTAACCTTGCCGATCCTGAGCAATGTGTGAACTGCAGAATTGGGACCTTGAAAACTGAAAATTTGGGGTGTGCCCACAAAGCATGCCAACACATTAGGCTTTCTAATTTGTTAAGCATTTGGCAAAGCAAGCACTGGATCAGAGGTATCCCAGAAGAAAGAAAGTCTTGCGTCTGTTCTCAACGCAGACTAGAAAAAACAATCAGATATCCTCCATGGCACTGCTTGTATTTAAGCAGAAAGGCATAACACTGCCAATAAAACATGCACAGGGGCACAAATCACCTAGAGCTTCAGTTGCTGCTTGTCAAAAAAAAA